ATTGTAGCAGATATTGATTAGCTTCTTTCTGCACTAAAACTGCAGTGCTGCCAAATGTGTATTACACTGTTAACAGGGAACATCGGGGGGAAAGTCTGTGCTGCTTGTTCACAGGAGGACTTGTGAGCAGTCCTGATTTTGGTGCCCTCAGCTGGGCACTCATTTGGCTGTTTGATGGGTTTTTTTTGCACTACTTCATATCTTTGTAGTTCTCTTGCAGTCCTCTTCACAGTATACAAAGGTAAAGCTAAATGTGATTTGTATTGGTATTTGCTCACACTAAAGTATAATCAAACTTTGGAAACATTGATTTTGCTACAAGGATTATACCCTTCCTCGTGATTTTTTTTTAAGGTAACAATCTGACATCTCCTGCTGTGAGTTTGGGGGGGAATAAAGCTCCAAAACATTAAATAGAAATGTTGTGTAGGTGTTTGAAGGTGTACTTCTTTCTCAAGGATTTAATTTTGCGAGCTCAAGGAGCTTCCTTACTCCCCGTGAGAGGTTATTGCTACTTTGTTAATTGCTCCCTTATTTGCTGGGCTGGGCTAGAGTAAAGGTGAGGCCTATTTTGGGATTCTGCACACCACTGGAAGAGCAGTAACAGTTGAACTCCTGATGATTTGTGTCCATGTTTTGGGCAGTGCAGGCTATGTGCTTCCCCAGTTTCTACTAGGGATGAAAGGCTACCGGTCTGGCTTTGATTTTATATGCAGACAAAAGCAGTATTATACAGGGAAGGTGCATCAGATGCACCCTGACTAACCTAAGTATAATTAATGAATTCTTTACTTTTTTTTTATAGATTTGTTCGGACCGTGCTACCATTTTCTCAGGAGTTTCAGCGAGATAAACAGCCTAATGCACAGCCGCAGTATCTCTATGGATCAAAGGTTGGATTTAATTCCCTTTATGTTTATGGTTCGCTAATGTTTAAAGGTATCTCCTTTTAATTATAGAAAGTATGGTATATGAAAGTTATTAAGTAGTCTGAGATACGTTCTGTGTGTAGTTTAAATTGAACATACACTTTTTTTCAGACTTTGCTGTGAAGCTCACCATATGTTTCAGCCAAAGTGCAAGTGGTTAGTCTGGTGGTTAGTCTTATTTGACATAGCTAAAAATAATTTCTTTGTCTCAACCACCTTGCATTGCACAGTTGCTTATAGTGGCAGAGCAGATCTAAAGAAAAGATTAATTACTCATCTGGTGAAGTGAGAATGAGAGCCCATCTTGGGTGCAGCTGCTCCCTTGTTACAGTGAGCAAGACTGAAGTAAAGGGAAAATATTGGAAAAATTGCTTCAGATGTTATCTGACTTAAAAGGAATACAGATTCTGACCACCATAAACTATCAGATACCAAACTGCTTAAATTAATTTTTTTTTAAGTGTAGTAGCATTCCTTTGGCATCTTCCAAACAAGGACCTCAAAGTCATTGGGATGAAATTGGAATTCAGACCATCTCATCTCCTGCATTAGCATCATGTTTCTGCATTAGCATCGTGTTTCTTGCTTTGCAGATTAGGAGGGCCTGGAAGATTTATGCAAGTTTTCAGTAAAAGTGTGCATGATATGCAGTCACGTACTCTGTGCCTTAAGGCAAGCCCTGATACTAAGGTTGGAAAGGAGCTTACCTGGGTGACAAGTTGAAAGAGTACGTGGCACAAATGAATAGTTGTGGGTTTTCATGGGGCTACCCAAGTAAGGAAAGTTAACCTGTATTCACAGGACCAATGCTATGCTCATGTGTGATAGATTTGTACTCCCTAATCACTGCAGATCTATTTTCTTATGCTTCGGAATTACTACCTAAGTCTTAATGACAGTTAAAGGCATAATGCATTAACATATATCGGCATTTTTAATATCCATTCAGAAATACTGATCTACTTCCAACAGCAGTAAAACCAACAGTGATATCTTCAGCAAATCGTTTGAGAATATTTAACAAGCTGTCACTCTGTATTTTGCGTTGCATTCCTGAGTACCAGGGATGCAAATTTAAGTATGGAAAAGATAACTGAAAATATAAGGATCAAATTAGAGGGTTGATGATAAAAAAGCTTAAAAATTCTTTGTTATTATTTAAAATTATTTAAAAATACATACTTGGTTATACTTTTAATTTATACAAGTGTACTGTAAGTGTCGTGTCAGGCTACTTTCATTATCTACCTCCTGCTTAAAGATGAACATAATTAGTCTGTGTCTTACTGTTATTTTCTGTACATCATATCTTGGTTATGTGGTGCCATCTCTACCCAGCAATCTAGTTTTTGAGAGCTGAAGAGATAGCTCAGAAGTTACAGATTTCAGTCCTAAAATATCTGTTGTATTTGTAAAACTTTCATACTTTTAAAATGTAAAGGAAGTAGAAAATGATTCACATATCTTAATGTGGAATGTAACAGCTGATTGTCTGGTCCTGTGAATAGTGTTTTATATAATTATTTGCCAACAGGGAACAGTAATTTATAGGAAAGTGGGATTTTCTTACATTAGAGTTATTGTGTTCCTAACTATTTCAGGAGCTGACCAGATGCAGCGTAGAGCAAAAAAACCTGCTGAATTTCATAGAGATTGCTAACTTAATTTAGCTGAGTGATGATACAGTGGAGTAAGTGACAGAGGATTAACTGAGGAACACTTTTTTTTTTCAGTCAGGTTACATTATTAAAATGAGTTTAGTAATCTTTACTCTGAGAGCTCTATGTTTTCAGAAATCTTGATTTTTTTTTTCCATGAGCAGAAGCAATTGAGGGGGGTCTTACTTGCATTTCTGAAACAAATTTCATAACTAAATATGCTTATATTAGCAAATATTCCTGACTCTCTGTAATTTTAAATTTTTACAGGAGTATGTTTTTGTTCTTGAATCTAGTGTGGTTTTTGAAATTGAGGATATCTGAATGGAATTTTTTGCACTTCTACTGTATAGGTAGTGTAAGACAGGAATTCTTACTTGATAGAGTCTGCACGTTCTAGTGTGGGATATGACTGTGTGATATTATTCTGTGTGGTATATAGCCAGGCTTGTTACAGAGCACATCCTTATTTGGGTCCTTTCACTGTTACATTGTTGAATTGCCTCCTGACTGGGTAATAATGAAATACGGAGTAGCTGTGAGGGTGGCTTTTTTTTTTTGTAATTTTGTCTTTTTTTAGTTCTTGAACTGTTTAAGATATTCAGGTGAGCACTTCACATTGATCACAGAGCGAGGAGATGTGACTTTTCCATATTGGACGTTTTTGTTGCTTGTTGATTTGGTGGTTTTTGGCATTTTTGAGTTTTTAGTTTTCTTTAGCAATGCATGGTATTTATTTAGGTCAATTCAAGAGTATTTTGATTTCTTGTGTATATGTACACTCATACATGCATGTATTGCACTGTAATAGCTAAACACTTTCTGTGCAGAAGCTTTACATGAGCAATGTGCTTGTGTAAGTGTAATAAAAGAGGCTTTTAGTTTGGATCTCCAAATGATCACATATTCCCAGATGTTTTTAAATGAATCAAAGCATTTGGTCTATACTAATGTGTGTTGATGCTTAGCATAGACAGTTGTAGCAACATTCTCTTTTGCATCTAAAGTTTTCTGAGCGGTATCTTCATCCGTTTAGCAAAACAAAAGCCCACAGATAAAACTTATTTCTTGTGGCTGAGAAGGAATCAGGGCTGTCAGGTGGGAAGGGCTGACCTGCAAAAGCTCCTCAGCCTTTTAAGTGAGCTGGAATATTTTAAGAGCTTGTTGAGCATGGTCATTGAAATTCCTTTACTCAGGTAAGGTGAGTGTAGGATTAATGAAATTAACATTAGCAGGTTGGAACTTGGCAACAAGGAATGGATGCATAAAATATTTAATAATGTATATATAAGAAAGAGTCTCCTCTGGGGATTTGAACTAACTTTGCATGTTAATGAAATGCCTGCTTTTATAGAGGTTGTGTAGATCAGAATTTAAGAGCTTTCTTTCTGTCATATTCAGTATTTTCCAAAGATTTTCATGTTTGCATGTCTCCTGCATTTTGTAAATGCTAACTCATTTGTTTTCTGAAAAACACCCATTTGGAAGGTACTTTTCAATGTGAATATAATGGTTTTTATCTCCTGCTGGTAATTAACATCAGTCTGCACTATGTTGTAGCTTGTTATGAGTTTGGTAATCACTTAGAATGTTTGCCCCTTACTAGATGACTGTTAAAACTGGACAGTGAACTACCAAAACACAGAACTGCCAAAATGAACCTGAATGAATCTGTAATAAAATTTTCCAAGCAAGAGAGGAAGAATCATGTAGCTCTGTGAGTGTGTGATGACATGAGTTCTTCCAAGCTAGGGGAGAGCACAGATGACACTCTGTATACATCACTCATTTGCAGTGGGTGCTGGGTGGTTCATTGATTGTAAGATGATATAAATGTTTATCTAAGTAATGCACAGTAAACTCTGTGGGTGGAATGGTTTTATATTTAGATGAGGTAAATCCCTTTGGGAGCGCTCTGTGGTACCACTTTGTCATCTCAGTGTGATACAGATGTGTCTTTTTGGATATATGTGTTTATGTACAAATAATGAAATTCAGTAGGTGAATTACCTCAAAACTGCTCTAAGACTGAACTGCTCCTTGTTCTCAGTAGGATATATACACGTGTATATAACATAAATATATGGAAATATGTGTATTGGACTGCCTTAAAACCCACATAAAGAAACAGAGATGCAGAGAAGTAAATAGGTTTTCAAGGGCCCAAGATGTTGGCAGAGATGAGAATATGCATCTTGGCTCTATCCCTTTAACATTAAAAGCATCCTTTCTTTGATGAAAACCTGGTCACAGGAGCATTACAATTAATTTGATTAAAAAAAATATTAAAGCATTTTTTCTGTCCCCACTACCCAGCCACCCCTTTTTGAAGTTAACCTGTAGTGTTGGCTTCATGCTCTGAAGAGAGTTTTTCAGTGTCTATTTCATGAAACACCATCATTTCAGACAGTGGTACATTGTTGTAATTCTCAAGTTTATTTGAAACTGATGTGCAAGACAAAGAAAAACATCAGCTGGAGGAAATGCTCTGTAGCAGGTGGAGAACACGTTATTGCTAACTTCACACAATACAGATGCCTTCTGAACTGATTTCTAAAAGTAATACTTGCCCCCATCAGCACACGTTTCTGTGTGTCATGCTTATCCTAGTAAAAAAAAAAATAATAAAGAAGAGGCATCAAACTTATGCCAACTTGTGTCTTCCTACCACGGTGAGAGTTGATGCCTTTCACAAGTCGTGGGAATTGTCAAAATAGAGTAGCTGAAGAGATCTGCTACCTGCTGTGGAATTGGGCACTCTCTTGCCAAAACTGTACACTCCTCTAACTTCCAGGGCATGATGGAAAGGGATGGCATCTGCGCAGCTAACAGTTCTCCAACCTTTACTGGTACAACCTAGCTGTGTCAGTAAGAGCTGATTTCACACATACATTCATACCAATAGCAATTTAAAATGCCTGCAGTCACAGTGTACCTTTGTTTTCTAGGCAAAATATCCTATATTTTATATGTACTATATAGCAATACTAAGATTTATTATGTTTTTATGGAACACAAATGCACTTAAGAGATTTAAAACAGGGTGACTTATGCATGTAAGTCAGACAAGTGTTGTCATGGTGTGAGGGTGGACAGGTTTCTGTCTGAAGGACCTTGGCACTTTGCCATGAAGCTCGAGGCAGAGTAAGATAATCAGCAGGTTTTCTTCTTACAAAAATAATATGTGTTTTTACTGTCTTTCCTCCCTTCTTTACACAAAATGTACTGTGCAATTGGAAAGAAATTTGCAGCTGATTAGTAATTTTTGTCATTAAAATTGAAAGGGAAAGAGAGAAGGAAGGGCCAGGAGCTGCTCCTCTGAATTCCATTTGCTCTACAGGGAGTCACTGGCCCGTGGAGCAGAAGGTAGCTTGTTGTGGGAGCAAAAGAGTGCAAGATAGGATAACTCAGGATGTTTCTTTAATTAGAAGTGTCCTTACAAAGTCACTGTGTTGCATGTATTTAGACCAAGGGAAAATTTTAAAGACAGATGAAAGGATACTACAAAAATCCTGGTGAGTTTAGCTCACGTGCTGAGACTGACCTCAATGCAGATGGGAGCTATGGACAGCGCCATGGCCAGTGAAGTATATAATCTGAGTGTAGTAGTTCGTGGTGTGTGGTTTGGGAAGCAGTTAAGTTTGTAGGAGTAAAACTCACACTGGCAAACCACTGCACTCTGTGTGTACGTTCCAGTTGCCTGTAGTTTAGCAGTCTGGGTTGCTGTCTGAAAACTTCTACTCAGTCTTATTCACTCTAATTTAAAAAAAAAACCCAAACAAAAACCAAAACAAAACCCTCACAACCAACCAACCAACCAAAAACCACAAAAAACCGCTCACAAAAATTCTCATGGTCACTTTTGATTAGTTTTTCTATTTGCTTGCTATTTTAGACTAAAGAAAAGCAACCAAAAAATCCCCTTGAAATGTAAACCAATTATTTGCTACATGCATCATTTTAAAACAGTGGAGTGTAACTGAAGTGCTCACTTCTTGGGAATGTGAACCTTTGCTTCTGAGTTCTTCTGGATGCATGTAGGTTTTTGGAAAGGGATGTGACACCGGAGGTACAGCTGAGAGCACTGGGGTGAGCAGTCAGAGCTCCCTGTTGTGAGCGCTGGCAATGCATGTGATGTGTTGGAAGCAGTGGGGATACCGTATGTAGTAAAAATCTCCCTGCCAAAGGGTTTCTAATTTATAGCAGAGCACTGTCCCGTTACTGGGACTCGTTCCCGACTTCTGGAAGCCGACATGACAGGCTCACTGCACGCTGAGGGATTCTCTATGATTGTGGCCAACTGGATGCCACCTGGATGCTTTTCCTCAGTGTCCTGCATCTGTTGTCTCTGTCTGCTAAACTCCTCCGAGGTATGAGCCTTGCTTTTGGTCCGTGCCTCCCCATGGTCTTGTTTAGAGGTCCTGTTTCGTTCTTGCAAGCGCTCGTGTCTCCTGCGGCACAGGAGGTGCAGGCAGCCATAGAGGAGGACTGCAGCAATGATGAGGAGCAGGACGCTGCTGGTGAGCCAGATGCCCAGTGCCAGCTCTTTCTTGGTGTTGCTCGCAGATGCCTGGTCTTGTTCCAGTGTGTTAAACACTCTGCACTGGTCGCTGGAGGGGTTTGCGGACTGGCAGGTCACGCACATGATGTACGTGGTTAGCGGAGTTAGGTTTTCAACAACAAAGGAGGAGCGACTGGTGGGCACCCTCTCTTCCTTCTGAAAGCTTTTTCTCGAGTAGCTGGATATCATGTTGTTCCAGTTAGGGTGGTACATGATGCTGTAAAAGCTGTCAACACAGCTGGCCATTTTTGGCCAAATTACCATTGCCGTGTTTCCTGTGATGTTTTGGATGGTTATTCCCATCAGGATGTTGCTCGCGTGATTTTTTCCCCTCTCGATGCTGATCTCCCTGCGGAAAGGGAAGACGTTCTTTAGAGGTAACTGAGAAGCCGCGGCACTGAGGATGTTGTGTGGATCTTAATCGTAGTGCTCTGTAATTTAGGAATGGAGTTTATTAGGAGAGTACGCTCTCATCTTTGGTACTGTAATGTAAAACTGTGAGATTAAAGTTCATAGAGTTTGGGGTATTTTAAAATGTGTATTTCTCTTCCAAGTGAAAGGATAAACATAAACTTAGAGAAATTCAATCAGAGTTGCTGCCTGTACAAGTAACCAGTTTTATCTTTCCTCCCTGAGAGATGGTGAATTTTTGCAGAATTTTGCTATCAGGAAATCACTTCCTTTCACTTTTTTTTCCAGGTGATAATGGAAAAATGCAGCAGTTGTTTTTTCTCTAGTCTGAGTATCTTGCATTTTATGTTAAGTGGAAAAAGGGGGTTGGCATGAATGGATATTGAGGGATAAATGCCTCTACCATCCATAAGTCTTCCTTTTTGCTGGTCACAATCAATTGAAGAACAAAATAGTATTTGGCATCACCAGATATTATTTTGTCTCCAATATTTTACATTATTTTCGTATTCACGAATATGAATACGAAGCACCTCTCCAATGAAGACCGACTGGGAGAGTTGTGACTGTTCAACCTGGAGTGGAGAAGGCTCCAGGGAGACCTTACAGCACTTTCCAGTACCTAAGAGGGGCTGATGGAACAGCTATAGAGGGACCTTTTACATGGGCAGATAGTGATACGACAAGGAGAAATGACTTTAAACTGAAAAAGGGTAGATTTAAATTAGATATTAAGAAGAAATTCTTTACTGTGAGGACAGTGAGGCACTGAAACAGGTTGCCCAGAGAAGCTGTGGAAGGTATCTGTGCCCATCACAGGGGTGTTAGTGCTAGATGATCTTTAAGGTCAATTCCAACCCAAACCATTCTGTGGTTCTATGATACGCTCCATTTTTTGCTGGTGAATTAGCACATCTGTAGCTACTGCGGCTCCACTGCGGCAGTGGCTGTGATGACTGTACTTTGGTGGTATCAGTATCACAATATCTAGTCTTGATGCTAGTTCACCTCTTGGAAAAGCTTTCTCAAGGCTTAGTGAAATAAAGCTTTCACTGTAGCATACCTCTTGGAAAAGTAGTAGGTTTTTTTTTTAAATTACTAACAGTCTTTTCTGTTCTAAGTGATTTTATGTAATCCCATAGTCTATCTGCTATGAATTGAAGCCTGAACTTCTCCTCCTCGTAATAAAATTCAAAACAGAAAGCCTGCCAGTATTTTGGGATTCTCGGTATGTGTTACCACTGTAAATAGTGAAAGGAAAACATCTATTGTGCGGTTTTCTAAACACATCTATGAAAGAATATGTAGTAACAGCCAGTAGGTATTTTCATTTAGTTTTGCTTATACTGTTGTGAGTGTAACTTTTGAAAAAGAGCCCATCTCAACAATTTAATCTTAATCTCTTCATTTATTTGTCTGTTTCCAGTGGCACTCATGTGAAAGTTTTTCTTCCACTTTGAAAGTTTCTTACGTTTTTTATGAAGATAAATGACCATGACAATAACACTGTATTTAATTGTTTATGACTTCATTAAAATGTTACATCTCCTGGCTAAATAACAATTAAGTATTGAAAATTCTCTGAGGAAGAAATCTTGAAAGAATTTCTCATAACATGTTCTGAAATTATTCTGTAATACTTGCATTTTATACTATATAGTAGACTGGAAAAGTATATATCATTTTAGTGGGATTTTGATAGTGACATGGATGAACTCGGAGGTCTCTTCCAACCCAGTTAATTCTATGATTCTATGAGTCTATGATTACACTAATAGTAAGAATTCTGTGCCTACTTATGTATGAAAATCATTGCTAAAGGCTTTTGGACTATACTTATTGGGAAGTGAGAAGAAAAAAGATGTATGTTTATTTTCATTATGTAAAACCATGGATATGACTGATCTGAGTAGCTGATACTGTTCTAATTGTGTGGTAAGTGCACCCTTTTAATACAGAAACAATATAAAGGAACTGAGTTTGCTATCAAATAAAGTTATCAGACAGACACATTTTGGCATCTTCCCAGCTACTGCAGATACTGAAATTGGGTGCATTAGTAAGATCAGAGCTTTTACTTTCTCGACTGTCTTCTCTTTAGCTGGTATATCCCTAGCACTTAAAATTATTTTATTTTTTTTAATAGAACACTTCCTAACACAGCCTAGAAACAATACTTTCATCAATTTAATCCTGACAGCATTTTCTAAGTAGAATGTTTGGACTGTAATTAAAAAACAATTACATGTTTCTAACGTTACAAAACATCAGTTATTAGAAGACACATAGTTACTGACATGTAAATGTTTGGAAAAACCATTTGTTGTTTTATGGATCATAAAGTCAGTACTTACCGTCACTTCCTGATGGAAATTTCAGAACAGAATTTTCATGTGGTGATGCTGCTGTGAAAATGATTTAGACACCAAGTTTTCTGTATCCCTTTCCACTTGAATTATTTCCTGACTGATCTCTGTTTGCCAGTTTGCTTTTTCTTCCCCTCAGATTCCCTGGACTGAATTCTCATTGCTTGGTGATTTCAGTTTTTTTCTCCGATGCTGCTGGTGGCATGGTTTCTTTGTCTCTTCCACTTAAATTCATGCAAGAGCACATCTTGTCTAAAGATGCTGTTGCCTTGCTTTTCAAAGACTATACAGGAGAAAAAAAATAATGTCTTTTTCCCCCTCTTTGCTTGCCTTCCCTTGGACAGTGTACTGCTTGAGCATCCCTGTTATATGCTCTTGTGCGTGGACCAGTGATGCTGTGAGTGATTAATGTTAGCACTTAGATGACATCAGCAACTAACAACTCTCTTTCTTTTTTTTTTTTTTTTTAATTTAAGTAGGGGAGGGAGCAAGTGTAGATTAAAAAATAATGAACAACAACTTGCCTTCCCTCCCTCTCCACCCCCACTCCCCTTTTGTTAGTGGCTTCTTCCCTAAGGATTTTATGCTTTTGTGCATCATGGGGGGGGGAAGTGGTGCTGGTGTGTAATGGTATTTTCTAAATCCCTTCTCACAGTTCATAAAGCTCCAATAATCCAGTGTTTACAGGGGACCGTTTTAGGTAAACCTCATGAGGTTTACATTAAAGAAAGATGTATTTTTAGATTGGCTGGCTTCTTATTGTTATATATCAGTGAGTTTTTTAAACACTGAAATCATGTTTTTAGGACTTGCATGTCTGTGACAAATTTTTGCTGTCTGAAGAGAAGTTCCCTTCCCTTAACCTCACAGCAGTAAAGGTCTTTATCCTGCTGAAGTAAAATTCTTCTTGTGCTACAGTCGAAACAGATAGTTCAGACACATTTGTTATGGAGACCTACCTGACTGGAAACATCAAAAGCAAAAGAGAAAATGTCATCTTTTAGGGGCAATTGTGTAAATGCTTAGTGTATTAGGGCATCAATCTGCACATCTGCTCCTAAGGTTTTACCAGTTCTCTGCACTGTATTTGCCCTGGAGCCCTTTTCCATATGTGGAGAGCTATGGAAATGCACAGGTTGTACTAGAGGGATGCTGCTTTAGACTGTCCCCCTCCTGGGACATGTTTGGAGTTTGGCCTTTTAGCCAGCTCTGATCTAATAGCAGGAATCTGCTATGTATTAGGATTCTAATAATTACTCGTGTGTCTGTTTTAGTTTGCATCTAGAATACAATTTTTGAATTTCTAAGACCACAGTTGGAAACTGCTGTTTATATAGAGATTTACAACACAAATAAAAGTATGCATTTTTGATCCCGATCGCTTCTAAAGATGGTATCTAAGTCCTTTCCTGTTATGAGACTAAAATCCTTCATGAGCTTGGTAGAATTTCATTACTTGAATTCCTAGTAGTTTAATGCCATGTTTTACAATATCTAGTGTTGACTTGCATGGTAATTAGGTAGGATAGGGTAATTAGGGCAGGATCTGCACTGAAGGAAATGTTCTTCCTGGAAAATTTTCTGTAACAGCTGTGTGTGAAGTTAGAAGTCTAATAGTATGCTATTTTCCATGTGTGTATTAGAGAGAATGAAACTGCAGAAAATAAAAGGAAACACTGAACAGTTCCTTCTGTAAGAAAGGATAAAGGAAGAGCAGGATTCCCTCTTAAAATTAAATTTCAGGGTATTAGGAGAACAACGCAGTTGCAGAAATAGAGGATGTCAAGTTATCTAACTCCTCTCTGATCTGTGCCTTCAGCAAACAGTTCTTAAATCCCCACACAGCATCAGTCTGTACAGTTGTGTTCCCTTTCATAGAAATAAATGCTAATATGGCAAAGCACCTGGTCCTATTTATAAAGCTCTTGAAGAATTTCCATGAGGTTACATCCCAGACTTAGATTTGCTTTGATCTTGTGTACAGCTAAGGGGTTTGAAGAAGAAAGATTCTTGTTAATTAGTTGCAGAGAGCAGTAACTGCAGAAAGCTTTTTCTTGTAGGTGAGTATTCAGAGACTTAAAACAGAAAACTGAAGCAACTTCTTTCAAGATGTTTTGTGCATAAAATGGATGATACAGGAATAGAAGCTGTGCTTTAAATTCAGAGATCTGAATATCAGCATTGACTGTTCTTAACCCTTTTATACTCATGTAAATAAAAAAATACAAAAGAGGAAGTGTTCATGGCTTTATAAATGGTAAATGGAAGATGTCTGGTGGAAAAAAAATGTGGTTACAACTTTGTCTTGCTAATGCAGAGATTATGGTTGAAGTTCCTGCCTTACAAAAGGGTAACTCTGTAATTAAACTTTCCAGAGTGACAGTGGGAGACAATGTTATTTTAGTTTAATTATGCTTTAAAACACTGTTTAAATTACATTATTATAAAGATGCAGGCAGACAAAGTTTCCATTAATCATGTGTGTTCTCTAATTTTAGGCATTGAATCTGGCATATTCCAGCATCTACAGCAACTACAGGAATTTTGTTGGTCCTCCTCACTTTAAGGTCATCTGTAGACTTCTTGGATATCAGGGCATTGCTGTGGTGATGGAGGAGTTGCTGAAAGTTGTCAAGAGCCTGGTATGCTAATTCTTTTGTTTTCTACTATTCCAAAGGGTTTCTGGTAGGAAATGTCTCAGGGAAAACAAAGTGAAAATAAGATCTTGGATAAAAATAATTAAAATAATTTCCATTGAGGTTCAATATAAGCTGGGCTTGACAGTCTTGTGCGAGCAATAAATATTCCTTGGTACCCTGAGCAGTGTTTTGAAAATCTTGGATGCTTCATTAGAGATGAATTTAATTTGTGGAGACCTATGATGTTAGGACCTAGGTAGACTCTGGAAAAGTGTGAGTATTTCAAATTAGTTGATTTCTACTTAAAGACCATACTGTAAGTTTTTTTCTTGATATTTTTTTGAGCTGGAGTGTGCTTTCTGCCTTGAGCCTAACTTCAGGGCTCTCACTAATGACATCATTAATAGATGAATCCTTAATAACAAGCCAGGTTTAATCTCCATGCTTGATCTAGCAGTAGTGCTGGGACCAGATGTTGAAGATGTTATCCATACAGCCTGGGTATCCTGTATTGGAAAGGACCTTTTCTGTAACTAGGAGGAGGTTGAGGGGCTGGCTGTGTGCTGTATTATTAGCATCTATATATACAGCCATAATGTACTGCAGTAAATTTAAGCTAAAGAAATTGTCTTTTCCGCCCTGTCCCTGTTGCTTGTAAGAAGCTTCCTGCCAAAAAAATCCGACTGGGGAAAATTGTGGCATTTGTAATCGCACTTCAGGCACTTGACACACTTGGCAGTTTGTTTACAGTAATTCCCAAAATGTTCTAATTACATTTTTGGTGTTCTAGAAAGGCTGTAGCATGCTTGAAGAAGTGCTGTAGTCTCATTTTGAGGGAAAGAGGAAAACACATGTATTTTTCAGGGTTTGGGTGTTGAGGGTTGTTTTGTTGTATTTTATGAGGAACTTTTTTTAATGACTTAGTGGTAAATCTTCTCAATTCATTAAAGGTGGCATTGAATGCTTGGTCATTTGCAAAGAAGGTTAAAAGGCCTGGGGGAAGGTATCCTGCCAGTGCCTGATGCAGATGCTCAGATGTGGGGAGACAGATGAGAGTGGGAGGAAGACAGACTGCCTGTAGGCTGGGAACCGTGTCACAACTGGTATGTCCAGAAGAGCCAGTTTGGGCAGTTACAGACATACCTTAACATAAGCTTTTCTCTCTTGTTGCTTTTGAAAGTATTCAAATGCTTTTTGAATAGTTTTGAAAGTATTCAAATGTAACTTTTTTACCAAAAACCTAAAAGTTAGTTAGACAGTAGAGACTGCGCAAGACAAGAGCATGTTTTCATCTTTTTTACCTTCCTGGCCCTAGCTGTTGTGCCACTCTTCTTGTAGCAAAAAGTGTGTAATGCCACAGGAAGGAAAGTTCAGTTCTATTAATCTGAAAAAGTTGCCTTTTTAAATGTGATGACTGGTGGAATTAAACCCAAGATTTTTAGAGCTGCTTCAATTCACTTGTAGTTTGAATGCAATTCATTGTAGAGATTCTTAGTTCAGTAACACTGACATGTTTACATACATCTGTTTTCTCTTTAGTTACAAGGAACAATTCTTCAGTACGTCAAGACCCTAATGGAAGTGATGCCTAAGATCTGTAGGTTACCAAGACATGAGTATGGCTCTCCAGGTTAGTTCATGTTTGGTGTTATCATAGCAGCCTTAATAAGATGATACTAACCACTGTCTTCTGGATCTTGTATATATATCTGTCTTTCCCTCCCTCTTTTGCCTCCTGATAATCAGCAATTAGTCTGTGTTAGGCTTTGATATTTTGCTTTATTATGTTTATTCCCACAACATGAACCATTGAAAGCTGGGCTTTCTGAAATTACATAATAAAGTTTTAAGACTTCTGTGCATAGAGAGAAAGGATGACAATCTGTATAGGCAGTCTTAAAACATAATTGATCTTGAACTGGGATGTTCACAATAGTTTCTATTTCTAGTCTTTCTCGTGAGTGTGTTGAGCTTTTCCCTCTGCAAATTAACCTCTCACATTTTTTCTTTTTAAACATATAATTTAGATAACCCTGATTCTCTGGAACAGCCTTTATTCCCTCTTCCTGTGCCCTTATCAAATGTATAAAGATAAAAGGAGTGATACTGCTGAGAGGCAAACTGGTCCTGCCAGAATAGTTATGTCTGAGGCATGTGTGGGGTGCATCTTAGCTGCTCAACAGGAGGAGTGACAGTTGCAGGAGAAGAAATGGCTTTGAAAACCACTTGCCACTATGGAGAAATAATTGGCTAATTAGTATTTATCACATTGTTCACTGAAATTTTGAATCTGCTCCCCCCCTTCAAAATATTCCTCCTCCACAACTTCTAATTAACACAAATTAATCCCTCCATGTGCCACCCACCTCCTGAGTTTATTTTTCCAGAGTTACTTAGTTTTATTAAATGCCACTCCAACTGGAATGAGGTTGTTTTTTTTCTGCTTCCCACAGCTTGCTTGACGCTCATTACCAATGTTTAAATGAAGCTGAGGTCTTACTAAGTGTTTCCTTCCTATTTTTCTCCCTGGAGCATAGAAGTGGATGAATCATGGTAGTTAGCAATATAAAAATAATGTATCTGAGGCTTTTATCCATTCATTAAAGTCTTACCACAAAAGCAGTAGGTATTCTCAGATGTAGATTATGCACCACAAGGGTCTGTGATGCTTCAGGTGACATTGGGAAGCTCACAGTCTCTTGCCAGAAATCCTCACCTGTAAGGTGAGATGGCAGGAGATCCCCAGGGACTTTAGGAGAAACCTTTTTCTTAAT